ATGGGAAATCACATACTCATCCAAGGCTTAAGATCTCTCTCTTTCTCTCTCCTCCTCTCTCCCTCTCTTTTCTCTCTCTCTCTATTCGACGAAGGGCTCTAGGGTTTGAGGCGCGTTTCAACGGCTCTGCAACGAGATCCAGGTTTTGAATTGGGTTCCTGCGAAGCAGTTCTAGGGTTTTGTTTTACCAAGCGCATTCTATTGGTCGTCCCGCCCATTCATTTTAGCTTCGCCTTTGGCCTATCCATCGCGATCTAGGGTTTTCAACCTGGGGGTTTATATAGAGAGAGACCCAGTTTAGGTTTTGCTCGTGTAAGTCTTTAAATTATTCTTTCTTCCTTGCATTTTTCTGAGCTCTCTATTTCTTAAAGGAGCTTTTTATTTGAAAAGGGGGTTATTGAGAGATTGAGCAATTGGAATTACTTTCTTTTGGTTTAGTGGTTGAATACGAGTGTTTGAAGATTACCATTGCTTAGATTGAGTTGGGGAATCTATCAATTCTTTGGTGCTTAACCTAGTCCCTCTTTTAGATCATTATCAGAAATTTTTGTTCTTTTGCATATTGGCAACTGCGGCTTTTGAATTTGAGCATTGATTGGACATCAAATAAACTGAAATTTTGACCTTTGACGTATTCCTTGAACTCGAACGTTTGGCGGGAAGTAAACAGGAAGAAGGATCATATCAACAATTGATTAATGTTGGAAAGTTTGGGGTTTTAGGTTTTGTGAACTTGGAAGGCTTATATTGTCGTAAATTTGGACATTGTCGGTGTCATTGGAATTAAGGTTGAGGGACTAAATCTAATTGCTACAGCTGATATGTGCAGTAATTGGGAGTTTATCTTATGGCACCAACTGTTCCAATAGACTTCACTGGACAGAAAGAATCAAGGAAGTGTTTGCTTTCACAGATGATGGGAAAGTCACGTAAGTACTCTAAAGGGCATTTGTCTGGTTTTGTTCCAGATTACCGGCATGCTGTCGAGACCATGGCTGAATCAGAGGGGTTTGGAAGCTCAGGACGGGTTGACACAGAAATGACAGCTTCAGAGGATTCATTTGCGCCCAAAAGGAAATGCATTAGTCTGAATGTGGATGGTTATGATGGTTTTGGGGTGCCTATGCAAGTGTTGCCGTTGTCACGGATGTCACGGTCTGAAAGGAAGGATTTGGAATCGAGGCTGAAATTGGAGCTCGAGCAGGTGCGGATCCTTCAGAAGAAAATTTCTACCATAAGTTCAAATGTTGCTGTATTATCGCCATCCAGTGATATTCGGAGTTGCAGTGATGGCAAAAAGAGGCCCCCACTTGATAGTTATAAGAAGACATTGGAATTTTCTGCGCCACAAGGTAAGAAAAGGGCTCCTCCTGGCCGCAATGGTGCCCGCACAAAAAAAAGCATGTCTGGGCCTGTCGAGCCAACGAAGTCAGTGGCCCCAGCAACCACTTCAAATTCTATGTTGTTGAAACAATGCGAGCAGTTGCTAGGCCGCTTGATGTTACATCAGTTTGGTTGGGTTTTCAACACTCCCGTTGATGTGGTGAAGTTGAACATACCAGATTATTTTACAGTCATTAAGCATCCAATGGATTTGGGCACTGTGAAGAGCAAGCTAGCATCAGGCATGTACTCATGTCCATTAGGTTTTGCTGCTGATGTGCGGCTTACTTTCTCAAATGCTTTGACTTACAACCCACCTGGAAATGATTTTCACTTTATGGCCGAGACGATTAGTAAATATTTTGAACAGAGATGGAAAGGCATAGAGAAGAAGCTTCCAGTTACTACTGATGTGCAGTCTTTGCCTTCAAGAGCGGCTCTTTGCGTGGAAACTGAGACTGCTGCACCTATGCCACCCTCAAAAAAGAAGAAAAGTACACCAAATGATACCAGTGTCAAGCCTGAAGCTCTGAAACGCATGTTGACTGATGAGGAGAAGGCTAAACTGACCATGGAGTTGGAGGCTTTGATGGACGCAGAAGTGCCTCTGAATATTGTTAATTTCCTACAAGAGCATAGTCATAGTGAAGGGCAAACCGATGATAATGAGATCGAGGTTGACCTTGAAGCTTTTAGTGATGATACCTTGTTTGCTTTACGGAAGCTTTTGGATGACCATCTGCTGGAGAAACAGAAAAGGCAGGCGAAAGCTGAACCTTGTGAAATGGAGGTATGTTCATAGTTTTTTCTTATAATGTTTGCATGTGTTATCTGTTTAAAATAGTTTTCCAACTGAATATTTGCATGGATTTCTTATTGGTGTATCACCTTTTTTTACTGCAGATTCTTAATGAGTCAGGATTTAGCAACTCATCAATGCAACCATGTAAAGGTTCATTTTCAATAACAGCTCTATGAATATTCATTTAGTGAACTGTTAAAAAAATGTCTTCTGCAAGGAACTTATTTCTAACAGCACGGATTATGACTTGCATGTACCCAGGCAATGACCCAGGTGATGAGGAAGTGGATATTGTTGGTGGGAACGATGCTCCTATTTCAAGTTTTCCTCCAGTGGAGATAGAGAAAGATCCAGCTCAAAGAAACAGTAAATGCAGTAGCTCAAGTAGCTCCAGTAGTGAATCAGGCTCTTCATCCAGTGGTTTGTGTTTCTACCTACTTTTCATATATGTAGGTTTATAAATTGTTTTCAATGTTCTGTTAGATGGAGGATATGCTGTTGAGAAGTACATATTTCCTCCTATGCAAATTATTATTTTACTAAATGCCCTATGTCAGTCTCTGTCTCACACACACACATAGATACACATGAAGTCTGAGGTGCAGTGTGAGAGTAATATCACAGTCCATGATTGTTATCCCTGTCTCGCTTGACCATTGCAAGATATGATTGTTATCCCTGTCTCCCTAAGCCATTCATTTTAGTGTCAACTGTCTTCTTTTATTGGCTAGCTGTTCTGCTTCCTTTAAAGGCTATGTCTTGCATTACCATAGTGTTAAATTGGAACATGGTCTTCTCAGCAGTTAAAGAAAGAGATATTTAGTCATATACCCATTCTTAGCACTAAAACTATAAATAAACCCTACACCATTTAATTTCTATAAACAAACCCAAAAAAAAAAACCCAAAAAATGATAGCTGGCCCTATTGAATTTAATTTTGATTATTAAAGTACTTTGATGCCCTATTGAGTGTTTTGGTTTTTTTGTTGTTGAGGTTTTGGGGTTGGGTTTGTTTTAAGAAATCAATGGCAGTTTTGTAATTTAAAAGAAGTTAAAAGCCTCTTTGTTATGTTGTAAATGGATTTTGGGCGTGTTTCTAAAGTCCATTTCATATAGGCCTTTTATTTTATTTTTATAATTTGGGCTCCTATATTGGGTATAATAATGAATCTCCCTTAAAGAAAATGTTTGAAATTCTATCACCCTTGCGTTGGTGGCTACACCTCTTTGTTCTGTATGTTGCTTCTCAACAATTAAAGAAAATAAGTGAAATTCAATTGTACCGAGTAGTAATTAATGCTGTAGAACCTTTGCCTTGGCTGCAGCACCTCATTGTTGTGTATGCTTCAGTCTGAGACACTTTTTTATGTGAATCCATTAGTTCTACATTGAGTTGATATGATTGAATGTGTGTCTTTTTATGAGTAAGAGGTGGCATCTTAATCATTCTGAAACTGGTATATCTGATATACAGTAGTACATGTAATTTCAATGGCACTTCAAGAGGCTCTTTTGTCATTTTGATGTGAGAGTTAGTAATTAGGTTATTGTGTTTTTAAAGAAAAAAAATCGAAATAACGTGCACATGTTTTTGTCAATTAACCATTATAATGTTGACTTAGATTTTCTGGAGAAAGTGTGGATCACTTGATTTGGAATGCTGGTGTTGTTTTCTTTCTCCCAGTTTCTTAGAACTAATGTCTGCTCATCTTGTAAGAAAGGAATAAGGGTAATTTAAGTTATATCCTTCTAGTGTATCTTACTTTATGTGATTGAACAGTTGACTTCATTTAGTGACTAGAACTTTTTGGAAAGTACTAGACCCCCAATGCTGTAATAGATGTGTTGCAAATACTGAGATATGATATGGTCCTAGCGGATATTGAAATAAGTTTACAACATAAAAGTGACTATTGCAAAATCTGAAAAAATTTAGATTTTAAAAGTTCTACAATTATCCTGAACACGTTTATTCCTTCATGGTATATGATGGGGTGGAGTTGTTGCAGTGTGCCCTCATTAGTTTTATCCCTTAGTATATATCTTGTAATTATGTGATACTATAAATTGAAGCATACAAAAAAGTTTGTACATTATTGTTTGAAGAGACTCTTATACGTTATTTTAAATTAAAGTATTCCCTGCATGCTATGGGGCCGGACCAATAAATACAAGATATGAGTTGCTTTCCAAGGCTTACAATATTTAAAAAGTTTGAATCAAAATATATTGTGTTATTGGTGATCTTCCTGTATGGTTTGCTTTGACAAGCCAAAGAAGTGATTTCAGGAATATCTGTGTAGCCTCCTATGAAACTATAAGATACTTGTGTTATCACAATGGTTTTCATGAATGTTCCAGCATTTTGTTCCAAATAGAACGACTCATATTTTTACAATTTTGGGTGTTGCTCACATGATATAATTTCTTCACAGATTCTGACTCTGGCAGTTCTTCTGAAAGTGAATCAGATGATGCTAAAGTTCCAGCTTCATTTGGTGGAGGAAAGGTATCATCTTGTAAAATTTTAAAACCTGGTTCTTCTGCTTTGTGTGGAGTTAAATTCTCACTCATCAATCTCTCTCTCTCTCTCTCTCTCTCTCGTATATATACCCTCTCCCCCCACTATATCCTTCTGTTTGTTTGTATGAGTTGTGGAAAATATTTCTTACATCTTCATTTGGCAGGAAAATGTGGGTACTGGAGCAAATTCAGACCAAAAGAGAGATGATATTGGGGATTCAGAAATTGGCAATGGTGAGTTGAGGATTTATGCTGTATCTTTTATTTATTGGAATAGGTAGTTCTGGAGTTTCCTCTAAAAACCTCTGTCATGACCCTTGTGTAGATTCAATAAATGGGGTGGCCCCACTGGATCAGGACTCCGGGTCTAAACCAATTTCTGTTGAGGAGGGTGAACATAGAGAGGGTAAGCATGAATAATCATCAAGAAAAATTGTCTGCTCTTAAATTTGGGGTACAATCTTACAATTCATGCTGTAACATCGTAGGGGAGAGTGCTCCATCTGAGAGGCAAGTCTCCCCCGATAAGCTCTACCGTGCAGCTTTATTGCGGAATAGATTTGCTGACACAATACTAAAAGCCCGAGAAAAGGCACTAGAAAAGGTCGGTTTCCGCTTGCCACATTGGGCAACCTACTATGCATTTTCCTTGATGTGCCCATCCAAAATCTTCTTTGCATTTTGCATTTGAGATGTGGTCCGTTCATCTGACTTTTGTGGTTCAGGGTGAAAAGCTGGATCCCGAAAAATTGCGAATTGAAAGAGAGGAACTTGAAAAGCGGCAAAAACAAGGTTTGGCTTTCAAAATTTGATTTATCTGAGATAAGATGTGGCATTTTGTGCAGTAGAAGTCAATATGGCCATCAGTTTTGCAGTTGTTTAAAATATTCAAATTTTCTTGTGTGTTATTAGAGAAAGCACGTTTACAAGCTGAGGCCAAAGCTGCAGAAGAGGCTCGAAAGAAGGCTGAAGCAGAAGCTGCAGCCGAAGCTAAAAGGCAGAGGGAACTAGAGAGAGAAGCTGCACGTCAGGCATTGCAAATGGTAAGGGTGGATGTATTATTATGTTGGTGGAAGCATTCTACAACCTTCTCTTAGTTAAATGGCAGCTGATGAATATCTTGCTTTATGCAGATGGAAAAGACTGTTGAAATTGAGAATAGTCAGTTTATGGAAGATCTAGAGATGTTTAGGGCTGTTGATGATGAACATGTGCCAAATTTCATGGAGGAGACTAGCCCAGAGCATTCTCAGAATGAGCTTGCCAGGCTGGGTAGTTTCAAGCTACAGGGAAGTAGTAATCCCTTAGAGCAACTTGGTTTGTTCATGAAGGCGGATGATGATATAGAGGAAGAAGAAATCGAACATCCCCAGAGTGCTCCAGAACCAGAACCCAAACCTGAACCAGAACTCAAACCTAAACCCAAACCCAAACCAGAAGCAGCAAATGATGCCATTGAAGCAAATGATGCCGTTGAAGCAAATGACTTTGAAGAAGGAGAGATTGATTGATGAGATTTTTTGTTCATGTTCTTGTACCGACTGAGAAGCAAAGATGGAAAATGATGGTCCTGAGGTATTTGGGCAGTGACTTGGGATACTTTTATAGGCTTTGTGGACCATAATATTATCTCTTTCCTGTTTGAGGTTTTTTTTTGTTCATGTTCTTGTACCGACTGAGAAGCAAAGATGGAAAATGATGGTCCTGAGGTATTTGGGCAGTGACTTGGGATCCTTTTATAGGCTTTGTGCACCATAATATTATCTCTTTCCTGTTTGAGGTTTAGCTGTCCCTGAAAAGAGGGAAGAAGAAGAAGTAGCTAGAGAAGAGTTATGGATTGGGTTTTGGGTTTTGGGCTTGTGTTCGTTGAAATGGTTTTTTGAATTTCATCTTGGGAAATGGAGTGGGACATTTGGGGAGGTAAACCCCATTCAAATCAATTTTGCCCATGGTGGATGATGTGCTGTGGGTTTTTGATGAAAGAAAGAAAAATCCAATTTTTGTCTGTAAAAAGCGTTAATTTTAGGTGGTAGAAAAGGTCGGCTTTTAGAATTGTAAAATATCAGTCCTCAGACTATTATGGCATTCTACCCATTTTTCCTGGGAAAAAAAGATGTCTCCTATTGGAGTTTTAGGAATAATGACAGATTGGATATTAGAAAAACAGTTGGAACATTTGTGTTGTCTTTCTGATTTGATTTGATTTTTGGCTAAATAGCATCCAAGCTGCTGGTTTAAATTTTAAGCATTTCACTACATAAATTATAGTTGCTCTTTTCTTTTTGTTCTTTAAATTTTGGATTTTTAATTTTCCAATTTGAGAGAATTTTATTTTCAAGTTAGCAAACCAATCGAGCATAATAATCATTTTTTAGTACAATCGATAGTCTAAGTCATAGTCTAAATTATAAGGGGGATGATTTCTTCTTACACACAAAAACAAGAAAAAGGCAACGGATAATCTAGAAAATGTTGAATATCGAAAAGGGTTCTTTTACAAATGAATGTGCAAACCGAGTGTCGTTTGGTTCTTGGCTCAAACGACATGTCGTGTTTAGCGTCTTGTACACAGTACACATTTCCCACCGATACGCCAAAACCCCTGCTCAGAGAGATTACACCCCCATCTTCTTCACATTCTTCCTCAGTTCTCTGTCTGATAGATTGATCTTCTGGCGACCTTACTTGCCTCTCTCTCTTCCTCCTCCTCTTCTTCGTCTGTGGCACCAGCCATTCTCAGACTCTCAATGGCGGCCACGATCGCCTTCAACGCCGTTGGAGCTCCGGTACGACTCTCCCGCCAATTATCTCACCCACGAAGCTCCTATCCACTTTTCGGCGGGATCCGACTGCGTCGCGTTGCCCCAACCCGTTTTGCGAGCTCCTCATCCTCCTCCTCTGGCTCTGGTAAATGAATCGCATTTTCATGTTATGGTAAATTGAGGTTTACATCAGAACATTAATGGAAATGGAATCAAATAGCAGGAATTAGGGCGCAGGTGGCGGCCGTTGAGCAATCAAGCGCTGCTGTAGCTCAGAATCGGAACGTGGAGGCTCCTGTGGTTATCGTCACTGGAGCTTCTAGAGGAATTGGGAAAGCTGTTGCCCTCGCTCTCGGCAATTCTGGTTGTAAGGTCATCATCATCATTCATCATTCATCATTCATCATTCAATTGCTTTCTTCGATGAGTCATGACCATAGGCTTCATTTCACTGTTACAGGTTCTGGTAAACTACGCAAGGTCATCTGAGGAAGCTGAGTTAGTTTCCAAGGAGGTAACCTTTTTTGTTAAAATAATGGCCTTCATGCAATGCATATATTGAAATCAGTTCATAGTTGAAATGTTTGGTATTAATTATATCCCGCATTTTAAACATGTTTTATTGCGGTTTAAATGCTGCAGATTGAGGCATCTGGTGGTCAAGCTCTGACATTTGGGGGTGATGTTTCAAAGGAAGAAGATGTAGCGGCAATGATTAAAACTGTACGCAAATGCACTCTTTTATGCTAACTACTTTTTTTCTTTCTTTCTTGTGTGGTTGCAATTATCGCTTGCAATGTGACATCTTTTCAATCAAATGAATATAGGTGGTTGATGCATGGGGAACAGTTGATGTGTTGGTTAATAATGCTGGTCAGCATCATATTACTGGTTGTATTTATTCTTCTTATCTTGACTTTCCTTTCTATTTCAACTGACACAATCCTTTTCAGGAATAACACGGGATGGCTTGTTGATGAGAATGAAAACATCCCAATGGCAGGAGGTTATTGATTTGAATCTTACTGGCGTGTTTCTGTGCACACAGGTGTGTAGTTTAGGGCATATGTTGATCTTGTAATTGTAGTTGTTCAAGCTTAGAATTGTCTGATCTTTTTAGCATGGTTTGTGCTTTTTGCAGGCTGCAGCGAAAGTTATGATGAAACAGAGAAAGGTAATCAAATTCATTCTTCCTTTCTTTTGTTATGTCAATGTGAAAATCCCATTTTGCTTCTGGATCCTTAGTCTGTTCATCATATTTCAGGGAAGAATAATCAATATAGCATCTGTTGTTGGTCTTGTTGGCAATGTTGGACAAGCCAACTACAGTGCTGCAAAGGCCGGAGTAATTGGCTTTACGAAGAGTGTTGCAAAGGAATATTCAAGCAGGAGCATTAATGTATGTGCATGTGATTCAAGGTTTTTAATTAATTAATTTTATTATCTGTTTTTGGCGTGTGGGGCTAGCCTGCTAATACATGTAACCCCACTCCACATTTAGCAATGGCTATGTGGTTTGTTTCATGACATTAAACATTCAAGCAGATATATTTTAAAATTTCTAGCATATTTCCAGTCTTACGTGGCAATTATCCATCTAAAGCTTTCTTTTTTCCGTAGGTGAATGCTGTAGCACCTGGTTTCATTGCATCTGATATGACTGCCAAGCTTGGAGAAGATATAGAAAAGAAGATCTTGGGAACCATCCCCCTAGGTGAGAACAGTCAGTCGGCTACTAGTTATTTAAGCATTATTATCAAACCTATCGTAGTTAATGTGAATTATTGAGAAACTGCTCGTGTTGGTTTTATAACTTAGATGAGAGATATAAGTGTTATTGAGTCATTGGATAGGGATGATTGAAATTTGATTGATTCTCTAATTCTTCTTCCCTGGTTTGCCTAAACTTAAAGCCTGATATTTGAAGACTCACATTTAAAATGGAGAAAATAAATCAGTTTTATAATTCTTTCAGGGCGATATGGTCAACCTGAAGAAGTTGCTGGACTGGTGGAATTCTTAGCGCTCAATCCTGCTGCCAGTTACATCACTGGACAGGTAAATTTTTATTAGAAATCTGATAATTTTTCCTTGGACAAATGGGAAATGGCACCATTTGAGCTGTCAAGTTTTGCACTGATCCATTGTAGGTATTGACCATTGATGGAGGGATGGTGATGTGAGAGGCCAAGTCCCGCACCCCAACGAGCTTCTTACAGAAGGTTTCAAATGACGCTTCATCTTACAGAAAGTTTCAAATGAAGAGAGGATTTTCTTTATATTCCATTCTTGACCGGCTTCTAGTTTCAAACTGAATAGAAGAGTAGAAGGATAATATATATATTTTTGTTTTAGCAAAGGTTGTTAAAATATATTCTCTGAGACTTGTGAACAGTGTAAGAGAAAAAAGACTTGATAGGAATTATTTTTGTGTAGCGGTTTCAGTCTCCAGATGGCACTAAAGCGTTCTAGTGTACTAGTTTAAATTTTCAGGCTGTGTATCGTTTATATGGGTTGCATATGAAGTATTTTGTTATTCTGTGTGTGGAGGTAGAAAATCTGAAGCCTATTATAGGCTTGCTCTTAACCACTTTGGGTTTAGGCAAATCTTTTAACCACTTTGTAAAGCTATTGGTCGAAAGGCCACATAGCCCTCCTTTGGGTTTGGACAAATCTTTTAACCACTTTGTGGACATTATCATAACATGTATATTAACTTTAATTAGGATTCCTATACATCCTAAGACTCTATGTTTCTCTAATATAATTTGTAATATATTTTCTTTTCTAGTTATGATTTTTGGTTCTTTTTGGGATTTGCATAATTATTATACTATGTATGAATAATTAAATATTGGATATGGATTTGGTAGTAAAATTCATTGGTACATAGATATTCAAGTTTTCACCTTACTTCTGCTCTCCTCACTCGCTCTCTATCACGGAATCAATCTCTCTTCTTTTGGGTTTAGGTTACGTGATAAGAGCATTTTTATCTATTGTTATGCCTTCATTGCCACGCGGCGGACTACAAATTTTTTAAATTTATTGAAAAAGTAACCCAAGGCCCAAATGTAAAAAGTACCAATAAAAATTTTAAAAAATAAAAATAAAAATCAGTTATCGTTGACAGCAGGACGTAGGGGGCAGAAAGGAAGAGAATGATATTCATTAAAAAAAGAAAAAAGAAAAAAGAGAATGAAAAAACATTTAAAATACTAAAAATCTCTTTAATTAATTTAAATATTAAAAATTGATATTATTAATTAAAATTGAGATAAACATTAAATATAATATAGAAAATTCTAATTGGTCAATGGAGGCCAGGAGAGAGAGGATATTTCTGTACAAGTGTCACGCAATGCATCCCATTTTCCTTGGATATTTGTCCGAAACAAACAGGAAAATTCAACAATGTGCGTGGTGTATCCATGCGCCCAAAATATCAGCCATTGTATGAGTAAGTGGAGATGAGGATTAAATCCACACCATTGAATGCTGGTAACCTGTTAAAAGGGTTGGTGTAGGTAAAAGTGAATAAAATAAAAATTAAACAGAAAAAAAAAAAGAAAACAAGAAAAGAAAAACAAAACGACAGAAGGAGAGAAGGGAATAGAAGATCATGAACTGCTACTGAGGCAATCCCACCAGCTGCACTCTCTC